AAAATACCGCAGCTTTAGAGTCAGTCTCTTCCAAAAGTTTGTGCCACGTGTGATTCTTTGAGCAAGGTTGTCTGTGGATGGACCAGAACATGAGGTCGCAGTAGTCTCTCTGCGTGATGTTTATTTGCCCTTGTACTTGGAAATAGTACTTGTTTGTCTTGGGCAGGCAGAGCCATTTATTTTTTTTTTACAAATTCGGATGCCTATGGAGTGGTGCTTGGACATCTCGGCCAGTGTCTTGTAGTTGCGTGCACTGAATGGGCTCTTGACCCTAAGCAGGCCAATGCCATCCAGGAGCCAATTGGGGGCTGGTGCATAGGAAATCGGTCCAGACGAAGAGGCCGCAGTCCTGAATTCTCACGCTGGGCTTGAGTTTGGCATGAGCTCGTACCGCGTTTGGTTCATTTGTTCATTTGTATTCTAGAGCCAACAAGTTTCTGATTGTCGGGTGCAAAATCTGCAGCACGACCTTTGAGAAGTCAAAGCTGCACCTGTGGTTTTGGCCGATGTTGTGAAAGGGGGACGAAGACGGTCGCATCCGGCGTTCTTCGTACCAAAGTTCGCAGGCGCTTTGGCCTATGGTTAGTGTCTCTGTCTCTTTTACGCGTGTCTCTGTCATGGTTAGGGAGCTCATAAATTCCTCTCGCTTCAATGCGTACACTTCGCCATTCATATCTGCCTGCTGAGACTGAGGCCCATAGTCCTGGTCGGTATCACATGAAAATCGCTGTTGACTACTCTTTTCACGGTATTGAAGCTGTTTCCCGCATTTTTTTCGTTGCTTTCCTCGTCGATTAAGCATTTTTCTCATCGGTGTGCCCGCACTGCGCAACAGCTTTTTCTTTGCGTTATCATAATGCCATTTCGGCCCTTTGCTGTTGTACGAAAGAGCTGCCATTTCACATCGTCGCTTGTACCCATTTCCTTTCGCAAAGTAGGCACGCTTCCCACCCACAACTTTTGCAATGGTACTCAAGTACTGTTCCGCGGTGTTACTTGTCATGTCGACAATCAGCGTGTCGGCCTTGTCAGCCATGATGTCGGTGGCCTTCTGAATTTTAGTCATTAGACCTGCTCTCGTGAGGAGCTTTCCTTCGCTTTTTTTCACAACGGTCTCCTCTTTGTCATCTTTTTCTCTGAGGCAGACATCTTCTTCACATCGTTCATGTATTTTATACACATGATAGGGAACGTTCTTCAAGTCTGACCTGAAACTCTGCACTGCTTGGCTGTCTCCAGGAGTCAAATTTGCCGCGTGTCGTTTGATCGTAGCTTTTGCAAGATGCTTCTATGTCTTCAGGTTAGTTGTTATTAGCAAATTTTTTGCCTCTTCACCTTCTTTCGTCTTGAAAGTTTTCATGTCTTTGAAAATAGAGTGAAGTGCGGCAGTATATCGCTTCACTGCATGATGCGCGCTCCACTTTTTTTTACCAAGTGACCATAAGCGACGCCAGTTTGCGCTGCCATGGGTACACTGCTGTCATCGTCTCTAATCAAGGTAGTGTGGCGTAAGCCTAAAGATTCACTCTCATTCACACTAATGCATGCTTCTTTCCATCCCTGCCGACTGGGCATTCCAGTTACACGGGCAGTCGTGCTTCCATGGCTCTTTCGAATGCTTGTTAGCGATCTGGCAAACCATATAGTACTTATATGTGCACCACTATGTGAAAGATTTGGCAACTGTACCATCAAGTGATGACTCCCACTTCGCTCTTCGCACTGTAGCCGTGCCCGTAGGATTGTTTTGACCACCCACCGTCAACGATGACTGGTATATTCCAGAATCCTTCAGTGTCTAAGCTCTCATTTCGCTGTTTGGCTAACTGCACTTCTGTGTGTGCTGCCTCTCTTATAGATTCCAGCAGTTGGGACATAATACCCTCTCCTGCGGTAGCCTCGCACTTGTAGAAATTATGTGACATAAACGGAATGTCTAAAATGGCTGTCAGCTCCTTACTCGGAGAAAAGCCAATACCCGTGGATAGTGGGCTTCTTAGGAAATCCTCATTCACGCCCCCTCCTTGGTGTGATTTTCCGAACCCACCCACACCCCTTGTACTGATGTGGTGAACGAAAGTACACGATGGCCCAATGGAGCGGCGGTACTCGTATTGCTTACTAAACCGACCCTCACCTCTTTTGAGAACACCAGCTTTCCAGCAAACAAACAGTCCTGCAAATGCTGGAGGACGGCTTTAGATTCGCCAGAGTAAGTCACTTACTCTGGCGAACAATCCAAGAACTTGTCGAGGGTTGGTTCCTTTGCCCTGGATCAAGATAAAATAATAACAGTTCAGTGCTTTCCTTGGCAGTAGATAATGACCAACTAGGACTGTAGGCGGCAAAGCGTGCCTTTCTGGTCCACTTTTGTCACCAGCCCCTCCTTTACCAAGGACAACCCTGAGCACATGTCCTCCCTCAGAAATGGAAATTCGGCCACTTCAGTTGCTCTAGCACTTTGTTTAGAACCGCCAGGGCAATGGTAATTATATTGGCCCAGGACGCCTCGTGGGGCGAAAGAGGGCCGACCTTCTTTTGCACAAAAGCCAGAGCAGCAGCCGCCACCTTGCTTGCAAGGGTCCAGACGAAAGCATTTTGCTGCTCGGTGGTCGAAAACGACATTGTGCCACCGATAAAGTCCAGTGCCACGCTCCTTCTTAGCCCGTAACGGCGTTCGACTTCGGAGCAACTGGAAGACCAGAAAAAGGTGGGTACTAAGCAGTCTGCCCAGTGAGATTCTGCTTGCAAGGGCGAGTTCGGTCAGAGCCGAAATCTTTGCGAGGTGCCAGTGCGCAACTCCGAAACCTGGTGCGAAGGTCCGGGCCAGGGCAGTGGCGTGTTCGAGCAGCCGAGTGTGACAACCGTCTTGGCTCAGCCAACTCGAGGAAGACAACGTGGTCCGACATCTCTCGAAGCGCCGCATTGATCCGGGCTTGACGGAGGGAGATTGGGACGACCTTATGACGTGAAAGTTCAGCCCGTGCACGTCTTCAGATCTCGGGGAGCACTGCTGGCACGTTGTCACTGGCGATCTTTGACACCAGCTGATTCTCCGCGATCTTGTCTGCAGTACCGATGTCGATGGGGAAATCTCAAGACGACGGAAAGCCCTCGAGACCTGGCCCTCACGGTAGGGAGTGCGATTCGTCACACAGACCAAAGAAGGCTGGCACTGTGGCCCGCCCAAGTTCGAATTGTGCTCGTCCCGTCCCACACCGAGAGCCCGAGGCACCCGCAGCTACTGGGGATGCCGGCCAGACGTGGGTCCAGGCTGTATCTTGCAAACTAGAGGTCCTGCAGGTGGCGGCGAACAGTCTCGACAGCCTCGGGGCAAGGCGATCGGTGCTGGAGCGTCGAGCAGGATTTGATGAGCCCGGCGAGGGTGCCCTTGTCCCGCCAAGGGGACTCGTTCCATGGGCAGCGCTGAAGCAGTCCTGACACAGAACGCATGGGATAACCCCGCGCACGGTCAGACGTTTTAATGCGGAGAAATTTGACCCAAGATCGGTAGAGGCCAAACATTGCCTCGTTTGCCGCAGCTCCGAGAGCGTCATACAGTAACTTCACTTCCAGAGCGTCGAGAGAGTGGGACGTTAAAACCTTGGTGTTGTCACCACATAGCTCTAGAGTCGCCATTGTAGACGTCGGAGGAAGTGAGGCACCCCAAAAGTTCAAAGGACATCGCTCCCAACCAATGCCTCCTCTATCTTTAGATTCCTCTCAGGTTACTCGCTTCACAATCAGGGTTGCCAGGTGTTTGTACTCTGACCCGCCAAAGTTCTACGAGATATAGCCCAAATATAGTCAAATGCCGATCCAAAAAAGTAACCTAAAAATAACCAAAAAACAAACAAACAAAAAAACTGACCATTTGAAATATTTATTATAAACACAAAAGACACAATACATTTTTATACATCAAATAGAAATACTTGCACCACTAGCATCACTAGTTCGCAGAACCAACGGCAGAGCATGGGTACATCACTGCGGTATTAAAACGAGTCAGAAAAGCCTCTGAAGGAACATAATCCTTGCAGTGCTGCTCCACAGTCTGAATTGGCACCAATATTGGACCAGTGGTGGTTATCCATTCTGCAGCCAATATTGGCATCCACACTAGTTCATTGGCTATGCCAATATTGGCTTTCACACTAAGTCAATGGCTATGTCATCGATGGCATACAGGCTCATTCATTGGCTGTGCCGTTATTGGCAGGTAAGCTAATTCATAGGCTGTTTCAATATTGGTGCCACATCTTAAATGCTGGCAATGCAATATTGTTGCTCCATTTCTTAAACCACTTGTTGTTCTAGTACATATAGTGAAAACATCTTTAAAATTCACCAGGACATCCTGATCAGCGGGATTGCTGAGGCGCCTCTGCCGCCTCAAAATCTTCCATCATCGCCAGCTGTAAAATAATAGCCGCTGGCGGCACAGGGGCATCAGGCGAGCCCTGAGTATGTTCAAGCTGAGTAGTCCGTGCGGCCAACTGGTCCTGGTTTGCCAGGACCTGCGCGGTGTCCTGGCGGAGCAGGTGCACCTTGCGCCGTACGTCAAGGAGCACTTTGAGAGGTTCTGACTCGTACGCTAAAATAGAAGCAGAGGAAATTATTTTGGTTAGTGATCTACTTAGGAATTGTGCCGAAAACAACACTTCACCTAAGACTGAAAATGAAAAACAATGATAAAAAATCTTTTATAGTTCAAAAAATATTTGCAAGCCTTATGCAATTGATGGCAGCAAATGCAGGCCATCCTGCCAGCGGCTCTTTCATCACACATATTGTTTACGTCACAGTAGTAAATTACACTAACTTTGTTTCACCTTCCGATAGACAAGAAAGCTACAAAACATTGAAGTGCTCAATGTTGAGCTTTAGACTCTGCACTAGCTTGGTTTTTTTTAGCAGAAAGCCCCTTGGGAGGGCGGCCAGCAGGCACTCTTTTGTTCCCTCTGGTGGTGCCTGGCCGACGCCTGGCAATGGTCGTTGGCTGGATCTTGATTATGCCTCCTCACCTCCTGGCCCCAGCATACACTGCATTGGTGGCGACTACACAGGACATCACCTTTGTGCTGTGTCAGGCTGCAACACTGACTGATGGTGTCTCATGCACTCTTGCAGAAGGACCACTCCGAATTAAAAAAAGTGCTCTGGCATGGAACAGAGACGTCAACAGCATACCAAGTCCACAATATTATAGGTCACCTGTGCCTCTTTCAAGTCCTATCAGTAAAAACATATTAACACAAGATAAATTATTGCTTTTAATTCGCTCTCTTAATCTAGGTAAATACCAAAGGAACCAAAATGTCACTTATCCTCGTTACACTCACTCTCTTGACTTTCAGAATGTAAAAACAAGCTTGGAACAGCTGTGGCTTTCAGTCTCCTCCAGCCGTCAGAGCACCTCGTCTGGAACTGGGAGGGCTCGAAGTGGTCCTGCAGCGAATAACGTTTTGGTAGACGTCAAAACTGTGTATTCAGCCGCTCAAGTCACAGTACAGTTATTCCGCTGACGAGAGGCTCACGCTTTCAAAATGCGCGATCTTACAAATCCATCATCGCACGACGCCACAGGCCTGAACCACTCTTCTTTCTGCGGTGAAGCGAAAGCGCACAAGACGCTTCCACGGCAATAGGGAATAGATCACAAAATACACGGTTTTGTCACAGTGCACTCGCGTCACAATATTAACAATGAACAATACCTCACCTTGCAAGGGATGTCCTGTCGAGAGGTTTCCACCCCGCACCACGCTTGATTCTTAAAAGCCACAGTTTACGTCTCCTCGGGGATTTCGGCAGCTTGAACAAGCGAATTCCCCTGGAAGCTCTGTTCCGGCACTTCAGAGCACAACAACTACCCATTTTTCAGACAAGACCGCAACTCCCGCGGCTACACAAACTTTTTTTAATGTTATTTAAATGCACGTGTCCGTGTGTTCGATCCTGTTCGATTTGGTTGGCAGGATTTCGAGTGCTCATTCATTTATTCTACCATTAAAGAAGGCTATGACAAAAAGCTCACATGCACCATGTTTTCAGTCACCAGGCGGTAACTTTAACTCTAGCGACGCTAAAATGAAATTACCGAACCCTGCTTTACCTGTGAGGCTCACGACCACCGCTAGGGGAAGTTTTGCGGCTTGTGATTGGTCACAAGCGGCCTGTCAATTAACTTTCCGGCCAATAGCGCTCCCCAATTTTCGCCCCATTGATACCAATAAATGGCCGAACTCTCCTAATATACGGCTCTGTTAGGGGCTAGTTCTCACTTCCTTGCACATACTCCTTCAGTCTGATGAGGGTGCTGTATTCACCATTGAAGTTTGACGTGAGGGCTCCCTTGCAAGTGTCGCAGTTTATGGTTTTCATCACGGCACGGACGAGAAATTCGCCTACATACGCCAAGATGTGACCTTCCTCCTTTGTCATCATGACGAGGAAGTCGTCCATGATGTCCACCTCCACAGTTGCAGGTTCTTGCAGTGGAGCTCTTCCACTTATTGAAAACAGGTCTGCAAGATATTCCCCGTCATCTACTGTGTAGCCAGACATTTTGGGCATGAGGCAGCTTTGAAGCACATGGCCGCGAACACACTGGCCACGTTAAGTGAAGTGCCTAGCAATGATTGCGTTTCTCACATTGGTTCGTGTGTCGGCCGGAAGCCGAGCCAACGGTGGCAAGGGCCTTTTGCGCCATGGCTTTGGCAGGGGGGACAGGGCACAGCTGGCGGACAAGGGTCCAACAGTTGCCGTCCCAGTTTGTGGAGAGCCGTGCAGGCCGTGATAGTGCCTGCAGATCGCTCAAACTTGTGTTGAAGTCTCATGTCGAGGCATGGAAATCACCGCTTCCAAACCCCAAATGCCCTATCAATGCTATTTCGTGATTTGATCTGGGCCTTTTTGGTCGTGTTACGCCTTCCTTGCCTTATTACTCTTACTTGTCAGTGTGTAGTTGCTGATTTGAATTTCTGGAATGCTGCTTATGGTTCAGCACTTGTGTTAGCATGTCGAAATAATAGTTCACATTGTGTATGAGAATTTACCAGGATCGGAAGAAACACACAGACACACGACAGGATAAGTGCTGTACTGGCAACTTGTGTGTTTCTTCTAGTTGTCTTCATTTCCTGTGTGTTTAATTCCCATCACATTCCATTTTTATAAGCTTCCAGTAGCTTTAGCTGGAGTGGAGAGTTGAATAAAACAAAGTATAGCCTGCTTATGCATGATTGATGAGAGCATGTAGGAATCGCGACGTTGCACTCCCGTTCTGCATACCCACGAGCGCATGGTCACCTCCGTCATCAGCTTATACAATGCCACCTTATAAGCACTTTAACTGTATACTCATAAATAAGCTGTGCAACCCTGACACCTATTTTACTTCTGAGGTAGAGCGCAAACCGCTTACATGTCAGGGCTGCCTGCCGTGCCTGGATCCGCTAGTGGGGTTATCAAATACAGTGTGCAGGCATAGCCCATGTCCCGAAGGAGCTGCCCAGTCATTAACGCTTCCTCGTAGAGCACCTTGTCTCGACAGTTGTCAAAAATTCTACTGTCGTGGACGGAGTTAGGCCAGCTTGCTACGATGTCGATGAACTGCAGTTCGGGTCCTGCAATGGCCTTTAGACGCAGATACACACTGGGAATAAATGTGGAGTTTATATTTTTTTTAAATGAGTCACATCTCGATACCGAAGATGGGAACTCTTTTCTTGCCTAAATTTGGCTTGTTTAAAAATCTAGAATATTGATTCGTTAAATAGAAAAAATATTAAGCACTTCGCAGATATTTCCCCTTTCGATATGGATATGCAAAATAACCTACTCAGTGAAAGTTACTTAATAGAGGTCTGGGCGTGGGTTTCGTTCGCCAAAAAAATCAAGTGAGTGCTTCCTTGCGTCAACACTTCTTTAGTTGCAGTGTCTTTGAAACTGCAGTACAATCAATGACGCAGGACATATGTGTGTTTCTTACGAGCACATAAAAATATTAAAAAAATTATGAAGGGACGTTAGCGCATGTCGCAGAGCTTCTTGAGTCGCTCTTACCTGCATGCTGATGGAGAAGTACCCTTTCCGGTTACGGAATAATTCAGCATCGTCCCCGCCGGGACTCCTTATCCGCAAGTGCGTGCAGTCAATGCAGCCGGTCACTCCCGGGACTCATTATCCGCACGTGCGTGCAATTAGTGCAGCCGGTCACTCCCGGAAACTTTGCGATTTTGTAAAAAGCTTGCATTACGTTGCGGCGCCCGGTGGCATTGGGAAACTGAACCACTTTTGGAAAGAGTTCCTGTGTGATGAGGTGGGTGCTGTTGCCGACGACGCGACACACGGTTAGCTGGGACACGTTAATCAAATCGCCGGTGACTGTTTGGAACGCACCTGCCCCGTAAAAATGTAGTGCCACCAACAGCTGGAGCATGGGTGAGAGAGGTTTCCCGCGATCATCGGTGCTCGTTCAAATGCACAAAAGGCACAGCAGTTCTCGCACCGTTGTTTTCGAGGTCCTCGGCCAGTTGTTTTGCCGCGATGTCAGCTGTTTTTCGTCGCGTTCCCATGCCATCGACGTGGGTGTTGACGGCCAGTGGGTGGGGGTCCGTGTGAAGTGGGGGAAGTGCTGTGAGTGCGTCCGACGTCTCCGAGGATACACAGAAGTTGCCCCAAGCGTGACTCGGGCCTCTCTGCTATTCGTGCGAGCAGCAGTGCGGCGGACTGGCAGGCGTTGATTCGACTCGGGTGTCCGAGTGCGCGCTTCTGGAGGTGGTTTCCAAGGGTGTTGGCTGCAGCCTCGGTGTATGGGGGGTAGACGCCGCCAACCTGGAGATCCCCAGGCACTCGTGAACTGCCTCTGGACCGCTTCGAGGTTGTGTGTCTGATAGGCGCTGAGGCAGAGCAGCGGTAGTGCGTATAGCGGCACGGACAGCACAAGTCCTTGGTGTAGTTGGGGCATCATGCTCTGGGATGCTCCCCAAGTGCTGCCCGCGAGCGATCTCAGCGTATTTATGCGGCGCCGCATTCCTTGGATTATGCGCGCCACCACTGCCCCCCCCCGTCAGTCGCCTGTCGACGAGGCCCAGGTACGTCACTTTGATGTCATGTTGGATGTTGTGCCTGTCGATTTGTAGTGTAGGCTTGAACAATGACGGGATGGGAAAGTAAACAATGGCCAGCGTCTTTTCCGCCAACACATCGAGGCCGAGTTGTCGCAGGTGGTGTATGGCATTGTCGAGTGCTCATTGAAGCTCCGCCGCCGCCACAGGCTTTCTCGGCCGCCTCTCCCGGTGACCCACGGCGTGACATCGTCAGTGTAGATGACGATGTTTAGAGGATATCACGCCGTGCCCCCCGCACGGGTGGCTGCCAGGATTGTGGACAATCCGGCCAAGAAGAGAAGCGGACTGATCACGGTGCCCTGCGGGGCTCCGCGCATGATGTACCTCGATGAGCTGGTGCTCTTGCCCACTTTGACGGCCACCGAGCGGTCGCTAAGGAACGCCTGGATGTATCTCAGCAGCCGTCCGGTGTCCCCAAGTCTCCGCAGGGCGTCCATGATTGGGGCGTGTGGCATGGCGTCGAAGACTTGTTTTATGTGTAGTAGAATGAGTGCCGCGGAGTGTTTCTTCGCCTTGGCGTCTTCCAACAAGCTCACGAGGTCCCCGATGGAGTCCGCTGTGCACCGCCGCATCCGGAACCTCGAGAAGCATTCAAGCAGGGCTTCTGCCGCCTCGAGGTGGTAGTTGAGGCGGCGCAGGACCATTATCTCCATAATTTTGCTGAGGCACGACTTGAGAGAAATGGGCCTGTACGAGCTTAGAGCGTTGGTGTTCCTGCCTAGCTTGCGGATGGGGATAGCCACAGCCTCCATCCACTCACTGGGTATTTCGACCATTCGCCAAATATTGTTGAAGAAGGCCAGAAGCTGTGGCAGGGATCCGTCATCCATGTTCCGGAGGGCTTGGGCGGTGACTCTGTCGGTGCGTGGTGCCGTGCGGCGGCAGTGGGCAGATCAAAGAGAGAGAGAGAGAAAACACTTATTTCCAACGACGCTTAGTCCTCGTTATCTACGTCTTTTGTTGGTAATCAAGCAGACGCCGGTGGTGAAGCGGGTTGCGTGGTCCTTTTGATGGGGACGATGTGAGAGACTAGCTGAAGTATGCTGATTTCCACAATGGTGTAGTTGCTGCCGAGGTTGGCCCCTGTGTCTCTCCAGGTGATCGCTCCCCGGGCATCGTTTTTGAGGAAAATGAAGTCCAGAGTGGTGTCCCTGGCCACGGAGTTACCGATTCTTGTCGGATGAATCGGGTCCGTGATGAGTATGAAGTCGAGTTCCGTGGCGTCTTGGTACAGGTCGTGGCCCTTTGCTGTGTACTTGTTCTAACCCCAGGCTGGGTTCATCGCGTTGAAGTCGCCGCATGCGAGCAGCGTGTTGCGGCCCGCTGCAGTGCTGGCTCTGTGTAATGTCTTGAATCTCTGTTTTCTCTGCGATCGGTTGCTGTAGACGTTTCTCTTCTTGCCCGGGATAATTTCAGTGAGTGTGGGCTCGATCTTGCTATTGTTGTGCGGCTCGTGTCCGACGAACGAGAGTTCCTTCCTGACCAGGGTGCACAGGCTTCTGCCGTCGGGTGGGCCCTTGTGCACTCTGTAGCTGGGCAGAGACGGTGCGTCGGTGAGTGTCTCTTGTAGTAGTATCACGTCCGACTTGCGTGTGACATGTGCGATGTGCTGTTGGATGACTGCCTTCTTCCCTCCTCCGAGGCCGCGACAGTTCCACTGCCACGCTGTTACGCCTGCTGCTGCTGTTTTTGCGTTGGCGGCCATGATTGCGTTGGCGTGTACTGGGTTCCTTGGTTGGGTGAATGCTGCGAAG